GGATAATATCTGGAGAGGAGAGTGGGGAAAAGCAAGACCGATCTTTGGAGACAAAGAAGGTATTATGGATCTGTTGGAAGCCAAAAGAAGACCTATTAACCTTTCAAGGAAACTTCAGTATGTTTCATGACGTTCCTCAACCGCTTACAAAGAGGATTTGTTTGAGCAAAATTAATGCAGTGTATGATCCATTGGGTCTATTGACGCCAGTGACTGTGAGAGCCAAGATTCTACTAAGGAAGTTATGGGGTGAAGGTCTTGCGTGAGATGAGCCAATTGAAGATGAATATCAACGAGAGTGGTTTAAATTGTTTAATGACCTGAAAGACAGTGCAGGAATAATGTTTAAACGGTGTGTCAAGCCAGTGGCAGCTAAGCCAGGAGCGGACCCCACACTAGTGATGTTCTCTGATGCATCAGAGAAAGCTATGGGAGCTGTTGCATACATAAGGTACGAAGTGCAAGATGGAAGATATGAGTCCCATTTGATGGCTTCCAAAAGTAGAGTTGCGCCGATAGAAATTACAAGCATTGTTCGACTAGAATTAAGTGCAGCAGTCTTGAGCAAACGGTTGGCGAAAACCATAATGGAGGAAACCAACATTTGCTTTCAAAGAGTATTTTATATCGTAGACAGCATGATTGTCCGTGCAATGATCCAGAAACAGAGTTATGGATTTAAAACCTTCGCGGCAACGCGCATCGGTGAAATCCAAAGACACACAGACCCCCAAGATTGGTTTTGGATTGCAGGAGAAGATAATGTGGCGGACATTATATCAAGAGGTACTGATCCTAGTGAGTTAAAGGAGATGAAAGCATGGCAATGTGGCCCAGAGTTTTTAAAATGGTCCGTAGAGGAGTGGCCAACGTCTCAGAGTTGTGGAAGTCAGGAACTCCCAGAAAGAGTTAAAGTAGTGCTGGCTGCCGATGTTGAACCAGTGGTCACACTGACAAGTCTTTTTGAATCCAAAGAAAGTTGGTGATTGTCACAAACTCATGAGAGTGACTGCCAGAGTTGTAAAGGCATGCAGTAGAAGAAGCTTGAAAGCGTTGGTGGAAGACCTGTCAGTAGAGGATTTGAAGAAAGCAGAGTGTTTGTGGGTTAAGGAGCTTCAAAAGCCCATGTTGACACTACTAAGAGAAAACAAGTCAGAATTTGACAAAAAGTATGCCACATTGGGCCCCAGACTGAGAGAAGACGAGGTTATAGTAGTAGGCGATAGAATCAAGAACCACGTACATTTTAGTTACAATCATGAAACTGTACAGTTGTTGCCATGTGATCATCCTGTTACCAGATTAATAGTTGAAAACGTACACGCTAAAGGACATACAGGGATATCAGCAACAGTTGCGAAAGTAAGATCACACTACTGGGTGATTAGATTGAGGCAACTAGTGAAGCGCGTAAAGCATGATTGCATCCCATGTAGGAGATTTGAGAAGGAAGCGGCGGGGCAGCAAATGGCGACCGTCCCCATCCACAGGTTGAAGCCATCTCCACCATGGGCTTACATCGGGATCGATTTATTTGGGCCATTTGTGGTTAGAGGAGAAGTGCAAAAGAGAACCAGAGGCAAAGCCTATGGAGTCATTATTAATTGTCTCGTCACACGAGCAATTCATTTGGATATAGCATCAGACTACAGCACAGAAGCATTCTTACAAGTGTTCCGCAGGTTTGTGTCGGTAAGAGGATATCCTAAAAAAGTTTATACCGATTGTGGTACGCAGCTCAGTGCTGCTGACAAAGCTTTGAAGGGCTTCAGGGGCGAGCAGGGAGTCAAATGGAAATTTACAACGCCCAACGCACCTTGGCAAAATGGTGTGACCGAGAATTTGTTGAGAGGGGTAAAGAAATTTCTGTTCCATACTATAGGGGAACAAGTCTTATCTATGACGGAACTACAGACAGTGATGTTTGAGA